TCTGATAAGGGATTAAAAAAGAATTGTATCCACCAACACCCTGCTGTACCGAATGATCATGTCTTACCTGCCCATGCCATGCATAGTGCAAAATAATAGCAGAGTTAGGATGGTTTCCAAGGAAAATTGGCATCAGAGTGGAGATGAGTTCATGGCGCAACGTGTGCCAGGAGGTGTTGATTTGTAGTAAGGCCAATACCAGCATGTCTGGACAGTGTTTGATAGGGAAGCTGAAGAGCTGTTTGACTTGCTCATACTGCCCAACTTCTGCGAGCCTTAGCAGAGATTCAATCAAATCCAAGCTCTTCCTAACAAGAATGGAAGAAAGATGCTCTATCAAAGAAAATCCAAGTATACAAAATTCATTTTCAAAGTAACCGATACCAACTGTCAGGACAAAACAAAGTTGCTGTCATGTTTTAATATTTGAGAAATACTTAAATTGTTTCTGTTTCTCTCAAAACTGTACTGCCATGCCTCCAGAGTGATTTCAAGGGCAATCCAAATTAACAAGGAATAACTGATGGAGAAGGCGAAACCACTAAACATTTGCATAATCATGGATCCTCCTTACCAATAAGATAGCAGATTTTCATGATTAGGGTGAGAAAGAAACAAATCAGAGTTTAGAAATAGTGAAAAATCCACAATAGACACATAGTAGACATAATTTACACACAGAAAAAATTCTGCCAAAAATACATCCTTAACACTTACTTTGGTAATACGAAGTTATAATTTAGGTGCCTCCTGATGTGATACAAGTTTGAAGTCCACAGCACCCCCTGTGAATTACTCTTGCCCCAAGAAGTTGAATATGGTAGATTTTAATAGAGCCTCAAGGTCTAACTCTACCCTTAGTCCATGAAAATAATGAGAATAAAGAGCAAAGCAAATACCATGAGGAAACAGATAATCCCATAAGATGGGGGAGACTAGAGGACAAACGATGTGTTTCTCCATTACATCAATGGCAAAAAATAAATTTAAAAAAAAAAGAAAAAAGAGGGAAAAGAGAGACTTAAATGAAACCATGTGGACCTTGTTTGGATTCTCAATCATAGAAGACAATTAGGGAAACTTACATGGAGAAAACTAGCTATACTACAGAATTGTCATTTACTAAATGTGATAATGACATTTCAGTTTTATAAAATGGAAAGAGGCCTTTATCTGTTAAAATAAAATGAAGAAATACTACTATACACATTAGACTTAACAGTAAAAATCAACCATACTTGCAAATTCAACATTGGCTAGCATCTGGGGAAAGAGCACACCGCCGCCAAATAAAGACAATAATCTTTTCAGTAACGGAGAGTACAGTTAGCAAAAAACTGTAAAAACATTATTAAGTACATGCCTTCAAAGAACAATCCAGGCCACACCCCCTACCTGTTGCCATGTGTGTATTTCCATAATAATGCAAGTACTCTCACCATCCTTACTTTACATCCCCAGAGATGAAAAACTGGACAAAGAGTTCCAGGGGAAACCTAATCTAGACATTGGGCCATAGTCAGAGTCTCCCTCAGAAATTTAGAACTAGAACTCAGAGAAACTAGGTAAGTTAGTTGAAAGTGCTAGACTTCATAGGTTGGACATCTTTAACAACTTACAAATGAAAGAAGGCAAGCAAATCTACAGAGCAGAGATCTCAACACCAGGGGAGAAGTACAAACCTCCAATATTTGATAGTTTCACATTTCTGACACTTTAGAAAATACCTAAATGGCAGACATGAGACATGTGACTACTGATAAGGGATTAAAAAAGAATTGTATCCACCAACACCCTGTCTAAAAACTTAAGTAGGCTCACTAAAAATACTGTTTCATTTAAACCTGTTAACTATGTACCTTCTATTAAATTTTATATTCCAAAAAAGCAGAAGTGACCCTTTAAAGAAAAGCTAGATGAGAGTGTTTACCATGTGGCAATTTCTCGATTGTCATCCTCTGGTGGTGCTTTCAGAATATCCGTGGCAACAGTATGACAGGGATAGTCAGCAAAACAGAAGATCTCCGGATTTATAAGGGAATGCTGAATGAAGGAGAGCTGGAACAAAGAAGAAAGTCTTTACACACACAAATGACTGTGAATGCTATAAAAATTCAAAATCTTTTCATTAGGCTAATCTCAATCTTAAGTTATTAGAATGACAATTTCCTTTTTGAAATCTTAATTATTTGCCCTTTGAAAACCAAAGACAATTCAGACTGGTGAAAGGCATGAGAGAGCCTTGGTGACAAACATCATTAAACTATTGGGAAAACAGTTTCATTGCTTTACCTCAAATAGGTCTGACTAGTACTAAAACTATGATAATATTTTTTCAATACTTATGACAGTCCCTTTTTTTCTGAGCTATGTAAAACAAGTTCTACTTTAAAAGTACATTTCAATCCTTAGGAAGATGGCACTATATAAGGAATAACCATTATTCTATTCCCCTTCTATAGCTAAATACCACTCACTCACCTGGCCTTCTGCATGTTTCCAAGGTCTATAAATGAGGTCTACTGGGAACACTTCCATACCCAAACCCCTCTGAATGCCATAAACCACATTCTGAAGTCCTTTACTGTCACGAATTTGAAACCCTGGATGGTCTAGTTCATAAGTTACTTCCTTGAAATTCAAACTCGGGTTCTAAAAAAAGACAAAAGCATTCCAAAGCTTACTAAACAAATGTATGCGTATTTTCATGCTTTATCAAAAGAGCCAATTAAAATTTGAAAATCAATCAAGATGTTCTACTTACAAACTCAAAATCACTGAATCTTTCTGGTATTTTGAAAGACATTTAGAAAGGTCAATTCTTAACATTCAAAATAAACTGGTTCTGTGAGCAAGGTACTCCAGCCTTTCATTCATGAAATACTTCTGAACGTGTTAAGTACTTAAAAGGAAACCCTTTTTTCCCCTACTTAATCCAACGATGGTGTTCATCCCAATAGGGCAAATAAATAACTTCTATCAGTGTGTTGTATCTTTCCACCATGATTCCCCAATCTTGGAACAAAGTGGCAAAGATAAATCGATTATCCCAAACACTATTCTTAATTCACTAAAGATGTCCCTTTAAAGCATCCCAGGGCTGGCTGGTTAGCTCACTTGGTTAGAGCATGGTGTTATAACACCAAGGCCAAGGGTTCGGATTCCATACCAGCCAGCTGCCCCAAACAAACTAACAAACAAAAAACCCCATCCCAATGTATGCAATCAGGAAAAGTGGTCTAGATGACTGAAAATTCCATTCAAAACATGTTTTATGAAAAGGTATTCAAAAAAGCAATATGAGACTCCATAAAAAATAAAAAGCAAAGGAAATACATTTATAGAAGGTAATTTACCAAAAATCCTGTACAAAGTAATAAGTATGTCTTATGCTTGAAAGGAAAAAGGTAAATAAAAAAATGACATATGTTGGCTGTGTATACTTTGCATTTAAAGGTCCAAAGTGTCACAGCCAGTTCAGTTTCACTTTAAGGTGACTCCTTTCAAGCCATGAAGATTTTTAATGTTTGCTTGTCCTTGTATATGGTATAAAACAAACTTCAAATGGGGTATTCACTCTAAAGTAACAATAACATTCAGAAAACAAGATTTTTTCTTTTTTAAATTTGTTTCAAGGACTGGCTTTAACAGAATAGTAGCAATTAACTTACCATTCACTCTTAGGAAGAAATGACTTTCATAAATCTGTGGGTATACTAATATTGAGATTGTCTCTCAGAGGAAAAAAAACTCACAGGTATGCCCATCCTTGGTGGTCAATTAAAAAACCAAATTATGGACCCAACGTGTACCTGACGTTGGCCTCTGGACACTACCTATAAAAAATGTACAGGGCCTGCCTGTGGCTCATTTGGGAGAGTGCGGTGCTGGTAACACCAAAGCCATGGGTTCGGATCCCATATAGGGATGGCCGGTTAGCTCACTGGGTGAGCGTGGTGCTGACGACACCAAGCCAAGGGTTGAGATCCCCTTACCGGTCATCTTTAAAAAAAAAAAAAAAAAAGGCCGGCCCATGGCTCACTCGGGAGAGTGCGGTGCTGGTAACACCAAAGCAATGGGTTCGGATCTCATATAGGGATGGCCGGTTTGCTCACTGGCTGAGCGTGGTGCTGACGACACCAAGCCAAGGGTTGAGATCCCCTTACCGGTCATCTTTAAAAAAAAAAAAAAAAAGGCCGGCCCATGGCTCACTCGGGAGAGTGCGGTGCTGGTAACACCAAAGCAATGGGTTCGGATCTCATATAGGGATGGCCGGTTTGCTCACTGGCTGAGCGTGGTGCTGACGACACCAAGCCAAGGGTTGAGATCCCCTTACCGGTCATCTTATTTAAAAAAAAAAAAGTACAGAAAACTCTAACATACAAGAAGAAATAGGAAGAAGGAATTAAAGAGGAAAGAATAAACAACCAGTTCAGTTGTTCAAATCCACAATGTAAGGCACTCAATTCTTGAACTCTCTGAAATCTCTTACAGAATAGGTTCAGGTATCAAAACTGTGCTTCTCTGCAATTTTAAAAATTTTTTTAAAAGAATAATTTTAATAGGGCAATAAAGCACAAAGATCTACTGAGTTAAAAGAGCCTTTTAACTTTTGCAAGACAACCACAAGGATAAAAACAAACCCCTAACTGGTTGTCTGTAAGTAAAGAAACTGTGTTTTTCTTTCTTTCCACATTTCCAAGTTTTCTGTATGACCATGTATTATTTTTTTTCCTCTCCATTTCTAAAGGAAAATAGTCTGAACACTGCAAATCTACCTACTATTAAGAAAATTAGCAAAAAGAAAACCCATTGATACTGGTAGTAGGTATGGTCATACATGGAATACCTTGATTCTAATTGAATGTTAAGTGGTACATTGCAAATGTGGAAAAATGAAGATGAGAAATAGGACAGATATATACCCTGGACAACTGATAAGGAATGTTATGATTAGATATATGTAGTCCTTAATGTCATATTTTGTTCCTCGACATTTTATGAACAAGACTGAAGATACTACATTCTTGACTCCACTATTACCCCACTGACTAAATTTTACCACTCCCTTTTACTATCTAAAAGTTTCATTCCTTTATGATTTATTTAAATATTTCCACATTTTGGTAGAGGTACTTTGTTTATCTGGAGGCCAATTATTTGGTTTGTGGATAATCCAAAAGTGGAGGTAGTAATATAATTTTATTATCATCCCTACCCACCATAAACAAGAATTGGCAGGATTTTTGTTGTTCCTACCAGAAAACATTCAGAAGACCTCCTTTCTCAAAAATTCTTCAATCATTACTTTGCAACAAATTAGTCTCCCACAAAAAACCACACATATAACAACCCAAAAACTCAGAAGTGCCACTCAGAATTGCAAAGTGACAACCCCTAATGGAAAATTTATTTCAGACTCTTCACTACTTTTTGAGTCAATGATGTTGGGGAACTCCAAAACACTGGCTGCTCTTATTTGGCTAGGCATTTTGTTTATTAAAATTTGCTTTCGGGCCGGCCCGTGGCTCACTCGGTAGAGTGCGGTGCTGAAAACACCAAGGCCATGGGTTCAGATCCCATATAGGGATGGCCAGTTCCGTTTTTCAGGGTATAAAAGTGGTGCAAGCACCACAGGACAGCGTTCTTGAGGAAAATCTGAGGGAGAAAAAAGGTTACAACGGCTATACTGATTAAAAACAATCCTTTTTTACTCTCTCCAAAAGCCCTTCAAATCCACTCTTTTACAAGTTCATATTTAAAGCAAAGTTAATTTAGTTTTTTCCAACCTGCTAGCCCAAGTTATGACTTCAACAGCAATTCCAAAATTTGAATCCTGTCATATCACAAAAATTGAGTACACTTTGAACTTTTCATATTAGAATTCCAGGATCTATTTACCGACTCACACACTAAACAGTATTTAAATTTTTCACATTAGGGCTATCAATTACTATAAAAGGAAAGCATCAGAAACAAACAATTAGAATATCAGTCTTTACTTCACTAACAAGTGGAAAGCTTTCCATCACTAAGAAAGTTAATGTAATTTAAAATTAAACATTAGGAAGTAAACAAAAAAAACAGTGAGAACAAATTATTAGACCACTATCACAGATGTTCTAAAGAGTACTTATCTCTCTAAAACAAGGATCACAGGAATGAAGAATGGCAACAACAGAACCAGGATTTATCTTAGCATTACAATGCCAATAGCTAAGGAGGTAGTATATCAAAAGTGACTGGTTTTTTAAAATAAAAACAGCATGTCACTATAATGTCTCTCTAATGGTGAAAAAAGACTGCATGGAAATATACCAAGTCTTATATGTGATTGTATTTATATAACAAGAGTACTGTTGAAGTTATATTCATTTTATACTTTTTCTATAATGAGGCTTTATCACACTTTCATAGTCTAAATTGTAATAGTCTCTTCCCTGAAAGGTTGCCAATATAAGAAAAGGAAAGGAAATCACTGACTTAATCTTAGAATATTCACTTATATTGAGATGCTTTTGTCATGTTTGTACCATGGGCTACAATGACTCCCTTACCTCTGCGTAGTGTCTTAAGAAAAGCGTCTATCTGTTCCTGTCCAACTCCAAAGGCTCCTTTCTGCCCAAAGAGGAGATGGGAGAGGAGGAGGTGTAGAACCTCTATTGCTATGTCTTGGAAGCCACCTTCTTGATTTCCACTGACGTCTGCGTCAATGTAAGAACGCAGAAGATCTGGAAGCTTCTGTTTGATAAACTGGGCAGCTAGAAGTAAGGTAAACCAAATACCACAAGTTACTTTTGCATCACAATGGGTAAAAAGATATATACCACCAAACTATAGATGATCACCCTTCTCATTCACCAACTCACCCTTCACCTCTCTAATGCTTTCCTAGGCTCTAGTTGGTAGGTATAAAGAGACCAGTTGCCAGGGACTAGCTGAAGGGAGGGGAAAATGAGGAGTTGTTTGATGGGCATAGTTTAAGTTTTGCAAGATGAAAGAGTTCTAGAGATCTGTTACACAACAATATCAATATAGTTAAGTACTACGAAACTGTACATTTAAAACTGGCTATGAGGATAAATTTTATATTATGTGTTTTTACCAGAAATAGATACCAAGAGAATCTTACACTATCTTACTCTCTAAATATAAAATATGGAGCCTCAAGATTCAAAACCTCATGAATTTTAAAAAGTCTCAACTTCATTATAGGATTTTTAGGGGAAAAGTAACTTACCAAAACCTCTAAGATCTGAGCTGGAAGAATTCAGCAGGGCAAGGCCAAAAATTACCTGAAAAAAGAAGGATGAGGTTGTCCAAAAAGTCAAATGGCTATATTTAATTCTAATTTTGCCTCCATGTGTTTTCTTAAATCACTCACCTCTTGTACTTTGCTTAACTTGAGAACTTTACTCAGCTGGGCAAATAAGTGGGGTGCAGGCTTTAAACTCTGAAATGAACCAAATTTTATTTTAAAACAAGAATTTTCAGAAAGTAAAGCATCTGTTCACCCAATTATGGCACTACATAGGAATGACATAATTCTGAAGTGCTGCTAGAAACAATATACCATGTCCTAGAAATGTGGACTGACAAGCTTAAGTCTTTGTCTGGTTTAAATAAGAGTCTATTATCAAATGAACTGCCTTTATTTCGTTAGAAAGCTACAAAAGACACCCCAAAGTAACTACTTGAAATTTTAAAATTAAGACATGACATTAAGAAAGCCTAATAAAAGATCACATTCTTAGGACTACTCAAAATAAAAGTAATACCAACCTTCTGATAGTGCAACGGATTATCAATGGCATAGGACAGCGTTGAGATAAAATTTGGCTTTGTAATCAGTGATGCACACTCCTGAATCAGAAACTGAGTCTTTAAAAATAAAAAATGAATTTTTATTAGCACTAACTGTCATCTGGCACAAATAGAAGCAGAGGTCCTCAGAACATTGTACGATCTAATGCTGTTTATTACACTATCAAAATCAGCTCTTTAAAAATCCCGTTAAACTACTTAAGTCTATTAGCAACAAGTGTTAAACCAAAATTTCCACAAGAGTCCACTGACAAGATTATTATAAGAAATACTATCATGACAAACCATTACCAGATTGACAGTCAAGTCTAAGAGTCTCAATCTAAGACATGAGATCCCCTCTCTGCCTTACATATTTGTCAAGCAGGACATCCCCATTCCTGCTTCCTTCAGGAAAGTCTGATCCCCAGCTCTCTAAGCCTAAAGTAGGTAGCTATAAAGATCTGCAGCCAGGCAAAAGGGAAAGACAGAAAAAAGGAAAAGTCCAACACATTTTCACCATCCAGCTAAGATTATTTCTGGATGCTATTTTGTATGTGTCATTTGCTACGTAACTATGCCCAAAATGCAATTTATTGAAAAATTAGAGCTATCACATTTTCACCATCCAGCTAAGATTATTTCTGGATGCTATTTTGTATGTGTCATTTGCTACATAACTATGCCCAAAATGCAATTTATTGAAAAATTAGAGCTAAGGGGATATAAACTCTGTAAGCCTCAAATACCTGATGAAAATCTTTGCCACTGCTTTTACCATCGCCACTGAAATCCACATGTGAAAACAGGCAGCGTAATAAATGCCTGTCTGCCTCAGGACCGTGCCGATTCACAATCTAAAAAGACCAAAAAAAGTTAAAGGAGGGTTTAAGAACAAGGGGGGGGGAGGGGGTGGAAGGACGGACATTAAGAGGGGATAAAAAAATAATCAACCTCTACAGCAAAATCCGAAATTACATTCATTGTTTATCTTAGAGTAAGAGTTACAGGAATTACTGAGACAGAGGTATATGTATTTTAATAATTAAATCTTTTTAAAAATGTTCCTATAGTCACTGACAGTAAGGATGAAAGAAGAAAAACCACTAGTAATTATCACATATATAACTCTTTACTTTGGTCAACATCTACACCAAAAACACCAAGTAGCATCCGATGACATGTAAGAGGAATACAAAGTTTTTTAAAAAACAAACTTTTAAGGCAATAATTTTATGTAACCTGAATTCTCTCCACTACACAACTGTGACTCTTTACAGCCTACTGAGCACAGCTCTAAATGAAGCTGCCACCAGCTATGTCTGACTTCAGTGGTTTAGATGCTGCCCTTGAGCCCCATTGGTTTCTTACTGTTCATCAAATTTATCAATGGTTCTATTTGCTATCTCCTCTAAATGGAAAGCTCCAGATATTTACACATGGTTTGTTCTCTCTTCCTCTAGGTTTCTGCTCTAAAGTCACCTTTTCATTGCAGCCTTCGTTAACTACCATCCCTAAAATAGCAACATGACCTGCCCCAACATCATCCCTTACCCTGCTTCCTTACTTTTCTCCACACCACTTACCCCTACCTAATAATTGCCCAATATAAGTTACATGAGAATAGGGAATTTGTGTGGTTGTGTTCACTTCTGCATATCTAGCCTAGAAAAGAGTTTAGCACACTGTATGTACAGAATAATCATGTTTATTAAATGCCACATAAAATCTGTTAACTACCTACTTTGGGCTAGATATCATAATGAGCTCCCTTGATTTAATCTTCAACTCCGCCAAAATTTACCCTCATGGATGAGGAGGCAGATACTTAAAACAGACTCCAAAAGGCTAAAATCCAACAATCTACAAAGTAAAAAATCTAGATTCCAACTCCAAAGCCTATGATTTTCCTACTGTATCACGACAATTATGTCATCATTGAGTTAGTTTAGCTTATTTCAGTTTCCATTTTCCCCATCCAGCAAATGCGGGAGTTAAAAAAGATCAATCTGTACATTATCCCCCAGACATCTGAAAGTTAAAATATGTATTACTAGTCAATCAGTAAGAACTTCTACATCTCCAAAGATTACTGTGAACCCACTCACAATGTATCATTTTGTGGATTCTTATCATTCCTTAATCAAACTCTATAAAGGCAGGGACTATTTTTGTCCTATTCCCTAGAATGCTGAACACACAATCTTAAAAAGCCAACTCAAACTAAGAATACAAGTAGAACTATCTATGCCCCAACTAATCAGACCTCTCCCTCAAAAGAACAAGATGATCTGGCTCAACAAATATTTGTTAAGTGTATGTTAGGTACTATTCTAGGTGTCACAAATACAGCAATAGAGGAGACTGATGGGTCCCAAACTCTCACAAAGTACACTTTTGTGGGAGAAGAAAAGGACAGGCAAAGAATTTCTGATATTACCTGTTACATGAAGAAAATAAAACAGGGCTATGTAATCCTGATGGTGGATGGTGGGGTGGGGGTTACCTCAGAAAGTCCTTTCCTAAAGGTAAGGCATGTCATCTGAGACAACTACACAGAGGTGAAAAAAAGAGCAACTGGGAGGCCAGAACATGATTAATGAACATACTGACTTTTCTGGTACTGTTATACGAACCTAAAAAAATGGAAGAGACATTTCATTACACTGTCAATGGCCAAAGAACAAAAAACAGTTTTAACTTTTTAACTAGAATCAGCGAAAATTTACTAAAATCCTGTCTTATCCTTTACATTTGTTTCTATAATGCTTTCTAATTTTACAACTGCTTTTACAGCCACTTTGTCTTCACAGCAACCCTAAGAAGTATATAGAGACCAACAATACCACATTAATAGATAAGATTTTCTTAATATCAACATTGCAATAATTAAGACAAATGTATTTTATGGCTGCTAGGTGAACGGAATATTCCTTCCATGGCACCATGCACCTCACTAGAAGCAACTGTTTTTTCTTCTAAAACTAAAGTGGTATTTTACAAACATCATCTTGGGTTACAAAGATGTTAAAATAAGATTATATTTATCCCATAAAATTAAGCCTTATACATCTTTAAAGTACAACCATTCTTCCCACTGGGCAGGGGAGAACAGTAAAATAATTCAAATGTTTGGTTGGGTAAACACCTTACAGTTTGATAGCAAAATCTTTAGGCTATATGAAAAAATAAAGTAACTATTCCAAAGGCAACCTGCAGTACTTCTATAATGACCTCATTTATGGCTGTAGTAAATCATTCTAACCTGGGAACCACACACTTAGAAGAACATTACAAAATAGTTTACTGGAAAAACCAGCCACTATTAAATCTAGAAAAGACACAGGAGGGAGGATTAAAGACTTGACTATGTGAAAGTTGGTTACTTTCAATAGTAAGTCTAATACAGAAAAAGAGCTCAAAACAGTTCATTATAAAGAAATTCCTAAAAAGGATGTCCATAAATGGTAATGAGTAACTTTATGAGGTACTCAACTAACTTCTATTGTCAGAAACAATAGGAATCCTCTCTCAATTGTATTTAAGACCTTCTTTGGGTGGAATATTGATAAAGCAGCAGTTATCTGAGGAACTGTGTCTTCAATCCTAGCTCCTAAAAATAACTTTAAAAAAAATGCATACGAGGAATTTTCATATCAGTTCAAAAAGGTTACATCAAGAAAAATACAAAATCTAGCCTAACAGATGATCTCAAAGGTCCCAAAATTCTATAGTTATAAACTACCAGATTTCTTAATTTAAATTGAAAACAGTAACTCAATGAATTACAATGATTACAGTTATAGTAACTGGATTAAGAGTGTATCTAAATATACTCTGTGCCAAACAATGGAATATTTCCATGCTTAACTTTTTAAACATATTCTACCTCTTAAAAATATTCAAAGTTTTTATTGTATTACCTGTATGAATAAGTTTGGGTAACTATAAAAAATAACACATCTATTAAAAAGTTTAATATAATAAATATAAAAACCAATTTTTGCAGCAAATATAAAGGATTGCTTCTAACGCAGAAAGCATTAATGAGGGGGAGAAGGGGGAGGACCAGCTAGCTGGTGGCCTATATAGGGATTGGACCCTAGAAAGCATTAATTTAAAGACAAAAACTTCAAGCTCCTAAGTAAAAGATGGTATAACTAAGAACCTTTTCTTGTCTTCTCAAATTAAATTTTAACACAATCTTCAACAAACAAAATATTCTCTTAATGTGACCCAGTGAGATATGCCATAGAGCTCATTCTTACCACCTCTAATGACAGCCCAATTGCAGGTTTCTATTAATTGAAACTGACTAATTCAGAAATAAAAATGTTTAAGACTGACAAACGTCTCAAAACATATATAATCATCCTTTGATCAAGTGATGAATCTAGGGCAAAGATGAGCCATAAAAGAAAAGATACTGTTCATTTAGAAACCCACATCAACATATTGAATGAAGAATGGCCAAGGGAATAGAGCTTGAGGGAGCAACCAAGCTCAAGATGTCACTTTTTATATATGTGAGCTAACCATCTAGCCAAAAGAGAGTGCTGGAGAAGCAGAATGAGGAAGGAGGCGGCAACCATTACCAAATCTAAAAATAGATGTCAGACAACCCTACCCCAACTTACCAGGATAGATCAAAAAGTTCATGGAAAAATAGGGGCCGGCCCGTGGCTCACTTGGAAGAGTGTGGTGCTGATAACACCAAGGCCACATGTCTGGATCCCTATATAGGAATGGCCAGTTAGCTCACTTGGGAGAGCGTGGTGCTGACTACACCAAGTCAAGGGTTAAGATCCCCTTACCAGTAATCTTTAAAAAAAAAAAAAAAAGTTCATGGAAAAATAGAATTAAAAGACTACGAATCTTTCCATGATCTTTTTAAAGTACCCTCAAGCATGCCCAAAATTGTTTATATGAGGATACTTGAAAAAGTCCAAGGAAAGATTCATTTTATCTGTTAATTCTATTTTTCCATTAACTTTTTGAAGTACCCTTATATGTGAGTAGATAATTGGGCCAATTCAAAGGTGAACAAAAATCCAAAGAATCAGCATGGAACCTATCTGGAGAAGGTGTAAAATAAACAGCACAAAGAAATAAGACAGGTGAAGAACATGCATTTCAAAGGACTTATCAAACTAAACAGAAGAATTCAGACAAATAGTACGCCATACTCCCAAAGAAATTATAGAAACTATTGTTTTGTGGGGTTTTTTTAAAATGGGAAAAGTTCTTAAAAAGGTAAAACACTGGTTCAAAGACAAGATAACAGAAGGAAATGAAAGCTCTCTTGCAGTGCTTGGGAAAAGACTGCAAGAAGGAAAGAAGATCTCATAGAAGGAAAAAAATCTCATAAAAAACAACCACATAAGAGCAACAACAAAAACAGAACAAAAATCATTTAAAATAAAGAAAGGCTCAAGAATATCACACAAATCTAGAACACATATAAAAATGGTTGAAAGACATGAAAAAAGGTGTTCTAATATACATGCATTAATAATCAATATACCTCCATCCACAAGAAGAAATGAAAAATATTCAAAGAAAACAATAAAAATATCCCTGAAATAATTATGTGAACTGCAAGACTGAAAGTAAATCATATCACAAGAAAAGCTCATGCAGAACAACCAATTTTATAGCATATACATAAAGTTAATGAATTCTAATAGAAAATCCAAAGAGATACTGAGGTCAGGAACAGTGTAGGCAGGAAGAATAAGACACCTACAGTGAATGACGAGGGGAGAGAAACGGGGAGATAGTGGCTTTTGTATTTAATATTGCTAAAGAATAAAGTGGAATAATATTTACAAAACTAGGGAAAATTAAACTTGACCCA